CTGTAGGATTTGGTGAACAAGACCATCCCATCCTTAATGATGTTTCAACATTGAGCTCAGCCCTCATCCTTTCAGAGTGAAGACTCCTCACCTTTTCACCTGGGTACCATATGCCTTTCTTCTTAGGCTCAGACAGCACACTACAGTGAAAAGGGCATTGGATCTGGAGTCGGAGGATCTAAGTTGCAGTCCCACCTATCTGGTGCAGTCCCTATCTGGATGCTTGTGGGCAAGTCACTTAACCTCTCTGGTTCCCAGTTTCTTCATCGGTAAAGAAAGAGGGTTTGAACAGATGGTCTCTGAGGCCCCTATAAGCTCTGGATCTCTATGATTCTGCCCCCGCCTCTTGTATGATGTCTCTTGATCTTTTTGAGCCTCATTACCTTAACCCCCCAATGGTGAGGTGGGTGCACATACAGATGTAGTGGGGAGAGAGCACTTGAGTCAGAGGACCTGGTTTGAATCTTGCCTGGATTACTTAACTTCTCTAAGGCCTCAGTTTCCTCATCGGCACAATGAAAGAATAAGGACACAGATGATATCTTTGGTCCCTCCTTGTTTTAAAGCCTATGACATATGACAAAGATAAATACCTGCTTTGGGGAAGGCCATCTGGTGTAAAGAAAAAGGCTATAATTGGGCATGTGGGATTACACACACACACACACACATTCTATTAGACATAGCCTCATACCTGGGTGTTATTTGTGTGTCAAGGGACCCCAAGGCTTTTCCAGACTCATTTGCCTCCTCCTCAGGGGCCACTCTGCTAATAGGGTAGGCTAGCCTGGAGATTCCCAGTAAGACCTTATTCATTTTTGCTGGTGCATCTGGCAGCTTTCTGCCTCTGAGAAGAGGCAACATTAACCTTGGTCTCTGAGAAAGGAGAGTCTGCATCAATGACAGCAAATGTTGCTCTGATGGATTTAAAAGAAAACCTTGCTCTCTTTGGAGAGATGCCAAGGGCACATGTAGACAACTTCCTTATACTTGCTTATTACCTGGGTATATTCTAGGGTGGGCTGGAACCTGAAGGGTAAATGGAGTGAGTGAGAGAGATGGAAGAGCTTCTGACTCTCAAGAGGCCTCATTCAGAACTGACCCAGGGAGAATGAGAGAATGGACATCTCTTGTAGTGAGCACTTCTAATTCACAAGGACTATTTACAATGATGGTGACTGGGGTGGGATTCCCTTCAGGCACTCCACACTCTAGCCAAGCTGGACTACCAGCTCCCACAAAGGCTTTCCTGATCCCTCTCAATTCTAGTGCCTTCCCCCTATTGATTATCTTTGATTTATCCTGACACTATCTTGTTTGCACATGGCTGCTCCCATGCTGTCTTCTCCATTACATGGTGAGTTCCTTGAGAGTAGGGACTGTCTTTTGCCTTTCTTTGTAATGCTCCCACCCCTACACCAAGTGCTTAGCATGGTGCCTGGCACATAGTAGATGCTTAATGAATGCTTATTGATTTGACTCTCTTTCCTCAGAGCATTTGAAAGCATAGGCTTCCCCTTTACCCCTTTCATTTTTTGTGATCGCATCCCAATCCTTTCCTAGAATGCCGTGTCTCCTCATCTCTGCATTACTGAAGCCTTCTTTTCTCTCAAAGAACAGCTCAGAGGCTAGCTCCTCTCTATAGCTTCCATGACTTCTCATTTCCTGGGCTAAAAGAGGTCCCTTCCACCTCAGATTTTTCCCAGGGCATTTTGTCTTGATCTCTCCTCTGCTTCCTATCACAGCTTGGTTGGCGACATGTGATTTCTTCCAGATGGGGGCTACCCAGAGAGGAGCACCTATCCCTCTAGTGACTGGCACCTTCTCTGCAACTTATAGCCTTAGTTTCCTAGGCAACTAAGTTAAGTGACTTGCCCAGGGTCACAAAGTCAGTATATGTCAGAGTTAGAACCTGAACTCTAGTCTTCTTAACTCTTAGCTTGGCTTTGTCTCCACTGTGTCTCTGTCCTATCTTGTGTTATACTTATCTGAACATATGCACGACACATCCACTTGTACCACCCTTACCCCACCCTTGTTTCACCCTTTTCCCTGTTAGTTGGAGATTTGTACATTTGGAAGTTACTGAAGCTGCTCCCTCCCCCCACCACCATCTTGTTCATCTCTTCTAGAAAAGAACACGCCCTAAGAATTATGATAAAACCTCTACTCTCAGCACTGCTCCCTAGATGATATCCAGAGGAATGATGGAAAACTGCCTTTTTTGGGTAGGAGAGATGATCACAAAGTGTTATGGAAGGAAGAGGACTAATCCAATCATCCTTATTGTACAGAGGAGAAAACTGAGGCATCCAGAAGAAATGGGACTTGTTTAACACCACATGCTAAAACATGTCAGAGTTTAGACCCAAACCCTGATCTTCTGCCATCAAGTCCAGAGTTTCTGACACTGTGTCCTGATTCTTCTAAAGACTATCCCCTTTCTCTTAACTATGTACAGGACATATCTCCCTGTCCTCCCTCACATTGCCCCTCAACCCAGAAGAATGTAAGCTCTTCGAGGACAGCTTCTAAAGAGACTGTGGCATCAAAAAAGGGAGACATGACAATTATATAGGCTGACATTGGCATGCCTTAATGAGTCTGTGATCTCATTGGTGTGAGTAGTTCAGGCAGCTAGGTGGCTCAGTGGATAGAGCACCTTGAGTCTGGAAGAACTGAATTCAAATGTGGCCTCAGATACTCACCAGCTGTGTGACCTTGGGCAAGTCACTTAAACCTTTGTTTGTCTTAATCCACTGAAAAAGGAAATGGCAAACCACTCCAACATCCATGCCAAGAAAACCCCATATGAGATCACAAAGAATCAGACGTGACTGAATGGCTGAATAAGAGCAACACGTTGTTTCACTGGTCCATATCTCAGCCCTTGCACACCTAATCATGCTGTGTTCCTCTCACAAAACCTCCAGAGGACTTGCTCTATTTCTTTGACTATTTCATGGACACCAGGGAAGCCCTTGGGTTGTTTTATTTTTATCCCATGATCTTTCTACATGAGTGGTCCTTCTCCTTTTTTAGCTTTCCAGATGTATTTGGGAGTCTTTCAATAGGTTCACTTCTAGAAAACAAGTTCTAGTAATATACTGATGCCCATTTGCACTCTTTGTGTATCTCTGCATTGCTCTGTACATCACTTGCAATCTCTTCAGAGATGATAGGTTGTGTGTTACCATGGAAAGAGTCAGAAGATCTGGGTTCAGATCTCAGTTCTATCACTATCTGTGTGACTTTGGGCAAGTCACTTACATCTCAGCCTTGGTTTACTCACTTGAAAAATGAGGACTGGATTAGATGACCTTCAATATCCCTTTCAACTCTGTTCTCTCTCTAGGTTGTGAAGTTGGAATGGGAGTTCAGGTCTGTGCCTGTGAGTGGGAAGCCTTTAATGGAATGGACTCTGTTGCATGACTTTCTCTGCCTTTAGCTTTAACCTCAGTAGTAATGCTGCTCCCCTTTCTTTAAACTTGCTCTCTAGGAAACTCCCCAGGCTGCCATGGAGCAGATCCCCAAGTTGATCCCCACATAGGAGTCCCTTCATAATCCCAGAAGCTCTACTGATGGTGACAAAGCCTAGCAGTGGGGAGCCCAGCCCAAGCTTTTCTCAGAAATGTTGTATCCCAATACCTGTATATTTGTTTGGTGAGAAATAAAAATGAAAAAAAAATAAATCAAAGAGCAGAAAAAGGGGGGGAGAACAGGATTAGTATCCCCAAAGTTCAAGTTGTCCAGTGGAATTCACATCTGGCATAGATTGTGTTTGCTTAAACATCTCTAAGCCCTGAAAAAGTTTGCATCTCATTGGTAAGCTAAAGTGATCTGTTAGATCACCTGGTCCATCTCCCACTTCATTATACAAAGTGGGAAACTGAGGCCCAGGGAAAGAGAGGGAATGGTAAATGGCAGAGTCAGGACCCAAGCCTTGTCTTGTCCTGCGGGACAAGCTAAAGCTGAGAGAATTGCTGGAAAGCAGCTAAAAGTGGCTTCTTCCATGGCTCCCCCAGTCCCTTTTTAGCTGCTCACCTCCTCAAAGCATAGTAGTCTCTGGTTTCTTCTCTTCCCCACTCAGCCCCCACAACAAACACCTCACTTTATCCCCAATCCAGAGGACCTTCTTTAGGATCACTTCCAGGAATTTATCCTTGTATTCACTTTGGGCAGACAGCATCACTGATGGATTAGAATTCCTCAATGGGTATTTCTGAAAAAAAGATCCTCATAGGCAAAAAGGGCTAATTTAGGTAGAGATGCTTCAGAGGACACCCTGCTGCAGGACTGAATTGGGACCATGTCTCTGGGTTTCTAGTTCTCTCCTGGGGACTGACTGACCACAGTATCCTTTAGTATCCTAAGATACTAAAAATATCCAGCATGCATCTAGGTCTCCTGTGCGCAAGCTAATGTCTAAGCAGCCAGGATCAGTCCTGCCCAACGGTGAGTTTGGGTAGTTTTTTTTTTTTTTTTTTTGGTGCTCCTACCTCCTGCTGGACTCCCCCAACTTTTCCGTTCTGGCACTGTGTCCCTTTGCTGCTCTCTCTCTCTATCCTAGCTTGTTCATTGAAAAGGTTCTCATATTAACTATTTACATCTTCTTATGAATTACAGTCAATATACCCTCTTCCAGAAGTATGTGCCTTGAGGGCAGGACCAATTTCACTTTTTTTTTCTCCATATCACCAATGCCTGGCACCATGCCTGGCATATAGTAAGTGCTTAATAAATGCTTGTTTATTGATTAATTGTAAGCCTTATCTCCTCTTTCAGAAAGGAAGTTTCAGTTTCAGGAAGCAGGAATGGGAAGGTGGAGGCAAATGGAAAAGAACATAAACCAACATGGGAGGCCTGGGCGATCTCCTACCCTGAGGAACACAGGGCTCCTGGTGCTCCTGTTACCTTCTTACTGTTGTGCTTTATCACACAGACATGCCAAGACAACCACTTGAAGCTGTCATTAGAGGATCAGGAAAGTGTAGGGATTATTACACAAAAAGCACACTACAGCTTGCTGCTTCCCCAGGATCCGGGGGGGCCACCAAACTAGAAAACTGGGAGTCAGCCAAGTTAATGGCACCAGGAGGGAAAAGGGAAATGGCTTTTCATTTTATAAGATATTCAAATCAGAAGCATATGGGGTTATTTCTGTTCTTTTTGTTTATGAGGAACAATGTATCTTGACATCATTATCAGACCTCTGGAGATTTAAAAATTAAAAACTGAGAACAAAAGATCTTCAAGAGGCCTACCCTGTACTTGGGGCTCAGAGCTGATCCCTTCCATGCCCTACCAGGCCAGAAAGCAAATGGACTAATGATAACCATATATTGTCTTTACCAAGATGGCAGCAGGCCATAGGCCCTGCCTCCTTCTGGCCTCCCTCTACTTTGTAGTAGCTATTTAGAAAAGAATTTGATATAAAAAGGAACAAAGCACACCCACAGTACAGGCCAAAGTAACTCACCCAAACTAGCTCCTGGTCCCAGTTTGTATCTAGTCTTGTTTGGACTCATTACCCAACCTTCCAAACCCCCCATTGTCAGCTAACACAACTTCTAGCCATATCCTTCAAACATTTCCATTTTTATGAGATGAGAAACTATTACATTCCACTAAGCTAAAATGAACTTTCTTTTTTTTACATTGAAAAAATCATTTTCTTTTCAGGTACACTGTTGAAAAATACTCTGTCCCCTTCACAGGGGTGGCATCATCACAGAAACTCAGTAGGCCACCACTTAGGAGTCCCCTGAAGTTTCAGGGGTCAGGATGCCTGATTGGCAACACAAGAGGCAGGCACAATCTAGGACACACACAGAAGGACTGACAAGCTTTTGAGCACCCCCCCAGCTGTCCACAAAAGCCCAAAAAATAACATTAACAGGATTCTGCGGTTGGCCCTGGTTCTGTTAACAAGACAGAAAGCTGAGGTCAAAGTGTAGGGGGATGGCAATGGAACAGGGCCACATGCAGGTTGTGTGTGTACGATGCACTGAGGATGCACTGAAGTCTGGCACTGTGGCAGCAATGGCACGTGGAGGCCTGGCCCAGTTGGGTCAGTCCAGGTCATTGGGTTTTTGGGTACCCAGGGATCCAGAAGGAGAAGATAGCAGACCAATGACCTTAAAGGACTTGACTCCCTTACGCATCACAAGGGATCTGTGCTCTTTATAATCCACCCCATGGGACAAGGGTGCTGTAAAGGATGTGCATGCCCCCCTCCTTCCATGTCTCCTCCTCCATTGGGTTTGGCTTTTCCAAAGGACAGTAACATGAGATTCACAAACTTGAAAAGAACAAAAGAAGCAAGAGCTTTGGGATCAGAAATTCCAATTGCTCCAGGAGCAGGTGAGGGAGATCCAAGATGGTGTTGCAGACATGGGGCAATTAGAAAGGAGACTCTCCCATCTGGCCTCTAAGCTTCTTGGGGTGAACAAGAGACCATTGATGGAGCAGTAAGTGCTACAGAGGAAAACAGGGGTCCCCAAGTCTTCTCTATGGTGTCAGGATCTGTCCAGTCTCTCACTCCTTATACCCTGGTTAGCGCCTTTCAGAGAAAAGAGGGCTTTTGAGATACCAGAGGGTTTCCTGTTCCATTAGGCTAAAATGAACTTAAGTATTCCAGTGCGACTTCGTATACAAACTTATATTGATCCTAAGAAAGGAACAAAAGGAGAAACTTGTTAACAGGGACTTTTACTTAGAAACTTTGGTAATAAACATGTAGTAGAATCACCTCACAATATTTCTATGTAGATTCCCTAGCTTTTAAGCTATACATGACAGATTTTAATTCGCAGCCCCATTTCCCATTACCCAGAACGGTTCTAGGCTGTTTAATCCCCACCTATCCTTTTCTGGTCTCTGTGTGTCCCAGAACAGAAACTAATTTTGGAATTAACCTTTCTTGCATCACACAAACAGAGGTATTTCTGGAAATGTAATAGAAGTAAAGAGAGCACTTTATGTTTCAATAGTGCCTTTCATGCTGACCATTTTAGAGTGAATGATCAAAATAAGCTAAGTCCTACAGGGATCCTATCTTATTAGGTGGACAAATGGAGCATTGAGGCACCAGGAATAAATAGAAATTAAACTTCATTCAGTCAGACTTCACAAATTTGAAATTGGTAGGGCTTTCAGCAGGAGCTGAACTGAAATTTCTCTGAGTACTAACTTTGACAAAGAGGTTTGGGAAGCAAATAAATAGTGTACTTGGCTGTGATCTCCTGGAAGGCAGGGAAGACTCAATCATCTTTGTATCCCTGGTAGCACCTAGTACACAGTAGGTATTAAGTAAGTGTTGAATGAATGAATGACCAAATTAATTAAAAAGATTATAGAAGGAGTTCTCTTAAATTATTTAAGGAAACAAGCGGTTTTTGAGGATGTCCCAAGTACCCATTTACCTAAAAATAATCAATATGCTAATTAAAATCCCCAAGTCATCTTTTTCCCATGCCTCCAGATTTCCCATGTCCTATAGTTAAAACTGAATTCTTCAAAGCCAAGCCAATGGCGAGTAAGCACAGGAAGGTCCTCCCAAGTTGGAAAGGCTTCAAGCACATATAGGCTGAGTGACTGTGTGTGTCTGATATACAACAGTCAGTTTATCCAAGTTCAGGGACGCTTATCATTAGCTGATTGGGAATGGTTTATTTTTGGTCAAAGCAACTCCTGAAATTACCTATTGAAGCACATAGGGCTTATGATCAATTTCATGGGAGGGATTAACTCCGTCTAATGGATGAAATGACAGACCCTTGTAGTATTACAGTATGCTAATTATAAGTCATTCTTTGATACTTTGACAGATTTGTGCAATCATCTTTCCTGTTCAACAATATCTGCTTTATACATTAGTATTATTAATACATTAACAAAAAATCTTTTTTTATCCTAATTCTAGTTGTTGAATGTACTTATAAATAAAATTTAATTTCTTTCTAGATGATTCAGATTGACTTTTCCCCAAGAGTTAGTGTGAACAAGGCTTTACTGGACTATACTAGAGAGGATTGTATTGACAGAGGACTTTTTACAGAGTGGGGTAGTATTCCCTTTGGCCCATCCCAGAGCCAAGGGCCTGGTATTTGTGGGAGGAATAGAAATAAATCCCAGACTTTTGGTCCCTTACTCTGATTCATGTTTATTTTCTGTAAAGTCTATTAGTAGAATGTAAGAACCTTGAGGGCAGGGAATGTTTTTCTCTTCTCCCTTTGTCTTGCCAGTGTCTAGTCTTGTGCCTAGCATATAACTGCTTAAAAATGTTTGTTGAACTGAGTTAAATAGAATTAGTTTAAGGCAATGTCCCTCCTCCTAATCTCTAGAAACTTACCAGGGTTTCCACCATGTTGGATTTGTTGTTTCGCAATGTTTTCACTATGTGGAACACATCAATGATATTTTGTTGTTGGATCATTTCACATACACTGCAGATAGCACAGAAGGTTCCACTTCGTCCACCGCCATTTCTAGGTACAGAGAAAAAAAAGAGGTTTGCCTCCTGGAAGTGACAACTGGGATAAAACACAAGTTAAAGCCTTTCATGAGCTCCTAATGAAGTGAATCCCTCTCCTATAAACCATCAGAACACTTTGTCACCTATCATGTACTACTGTCATTTGTGTCTATGTCTTATTTCCTTAATAGACAGTAAGCTTGATGAGGACAGGGGCAATGTCTTATCTTTTTATCTCCCTCCACTTACCATAAGACCTTCTACATTATATCATCATCATCATCTAAATGTAAGGGGACTCAAATCTCTAACACTGATATGTACACAATAGGGAGCCTGAGAGCCACTGCCAAGGACATGTCTAATTGGAAAAGGACATGAGCCAGTCATGTAGCAAGAGATAGGAAAGCCTGAGAATTGCCCTGGCATTCATGGCATGGCAGAAAGCCAGAAGACCTCCAGTGTGTTAGGTAGATCCCCTTTGGAGAGATTGCAGAAAGGCATGCTTGAGAATCATATAGAATGAAAAGGTGTGGATGGGTTGTGATCTATTTGTTGTTGTTGTTCAGTTATGTCTGACTCTTTGTGACCCCATATGGGGTTTTCTTGGCAAAGATACTGGAGTGACTTGCCATTTCCTCCTCCAGTAAACTAAGATACACAGAGGGCAAGTGACTTACCCAGGGTCACACAGCTAGTGAGTGTCTGAGGCTGGATTTGAACTCAGTTCTTTTTAAATTCAAGCCCAGTGCTCTATCCACTGTGCCACCTACCAGCAGAATAAATATCCCCATCAAGGACATCATATACCCCTCATAGAACTGAAGTAAGTATATAATAATAGCTCCCATCTCTATAGCACTTTGATATTTGCAAAATGTTTTGTAGGTTTATAGGATTTAGACCTAGAAGGAACCTTAGAGATGCCTTGTCAGGTAGGTAAATCTATAAAGTGGGAGATAATAAACTTGAAACCTAGTGAGGAGATATGACTTGCTCCAGATCAAAGAGTGAATCAGTAGCAGATCTAGAACTAAAAATCCAGTCTCCTGATTCCTAGGTTAATGCTCCTCTAACCCTATTACACAATTTCTTTTGGATTGCTATTGGATTCCTTCAGCAGACAGCAGGACCTATCCATGGTGCTGAATCCCATCTCATTGCGTGCATCTGTCTGTGTGCTTTGACCTTCCCTAGCGTCCACCTCATCCGCCAACCTAACATGATTCACGATGCTGGAGGGGATTTTGTTACACTTACAAGCAGTGGACAACAGTTCGTCCATCCCTCCCGTCGTATTGTTCCTGCCACTTCTCTAGTCGCCGGACGACCTTCAGAAGGGAGCGTTTGGAGGGAGGTGTGTCCCGGTAGGCAGGCCAGCCAATATACTGTAAGTGTTGGACGATACGATACCCATCTTGTGGCTGAAAATGGAGTCAGTTGATTCTGTTACATTTTAGTGCTATGGAGGTGTAATCCTTTACAGGATCCAAGGAGGTAAAAGCATCATGTAGGTAGCCTTTACAGGGATTCTTACAAAGCACATCCTAGCAGTGCTATGACTGGGAATACCCCAGGAAATGCTCGGGTCTAAAGTCAGTGATTTGAGTCACATCATCCCTGGAGTAGTCAGAAGATGGAATCACAAAATTTTACAGCGTAAGGGGACCTTGAAGATCACTGAATCTCATGCCCTCATTTTACAGATGAGGGAACACAGGCACAGGGAGGGGAAGTGATTTGCTCAAAGTAACATTAGCTAAGTAAGTCCTGGGCCTGGGACTCAACTCCAGGTCTTTGAACTCCAAATCCAATGTTCTTTTTATTATGTCTTTTTACTTTCCCCTGGATATCCACCCATCCTGAGTAAGAAAGAGGGGTGTCTGGGAAAGAGAGAGGCTCAAGTCAACTGTCCTCATTATCTGAAGAGTAGATAACTTGTCTGAGGCCAGATAAAATCCTGAGACTAAGTTGAATTTTAGTGAGTATCAAGTAGAAATATGACTTCCTCCCTTTAAAACAAACAAACAAAAAAAAAACAGCTTCACTGATACATGCCCTAATTTTTGAGATGCAATGGAGAACATTAGGTCAGTCAGGTTGGTGTCCTGCCTGGAGGTCTAGTTGCTGGTGTTTTCACATAATCACTCCTATCTAACCTCTTATTTGTGTGGAGGTAAGGGTTGAACAATTGAGTTACCCAGTCTGTCTGATGGTGTTACAGGATGTAAAGAGTGTATCCTCATAACTTCTAATTTCATTAAGAAGACTGAGTAGGGAGCTCAATTCATCAAGAGTCCTCCTCCTTTCACCCACCCACTTATCTCTATAGCCTCTGTCTCATTTGCTTCCTGCAAACATCCAGATAAATAAAATCATCCAGATGAAGAAAAATTCGGCCAGCAAAGAGCAAAATGGCAAACACTGAACTTACTCTCGCCATGTTGCAGATTCGGAATATCCTATTGATGATATCCTCATCAATGTCAGCCGATACAAACTCCACCTGGATTGGTCCATAACAACAGGAAGTCTTCTCTGGCCAATACTGCATGCAGAGCTAGCGTAAGCACAAAAGACATAGAGAGAAAATGAGAGAGGTTAATGAATAGGAGAGAGGCATCCTGGTAACCAGATCCTGCTTATTCCTGGGGCATCCCTGTTGTAGGCCCAACCAGTTCAGTGTGCTAGCAAGAGTACGGTATTAATGAGACCAAGGTCATGGGGTTCAGCTCCTCTAGACTCTGGTGGCTCAGACAGGTGGATCAGAGGAAGCCCCCACTAAGTTCATGACCTGATGCCTGGTCAGTACCATCCTCAGGACAGTGTATTATTTTGAATTCTCACCCCCAAGAGAATGTTTTCTTTCTGTTTCAAGGGCTTCAAAGACTTAGCGCCAAAGATCTATAAGAGTTAAATCTATAGCTTCGCCACCCTCCTCTCTGAGGGAGGTTAATTGGGTAGCAAGTAGGCATGTTGGGAAGCAGACGAGGGGGTCCACGAGGCCTCTGTGGCCAGAGGAGCAGCACATCTGCTGAGTTGGGAAGTAATGACAATTTAAACTTTATTTCTCTTTGCCACGGGCTTTTCTCCATCTCGGCTCTGACAATGAGGGGCTGGGGGAGCCAGCACAGATAAGACCAGAGCTAGCCAGAGCCTTTGCCTAGAATTTGGATTAATCAGAGCAGTCTTTTTTTAATTAACATTTTTATCATTTGCATTGAATCCAGCCCTGTGCATGCTGGCTGCTCATCAGATGAGAGGTGTAAGAACTAGAACATGAGTACCGCACTTCTTCCCCTCCCACCCCACTGAATTTTCAAACTGCATGGAACTAAAAATCATTTAAGTCTCTTTTAATGAGATTTCCAGGCTAATTTCTTCAGCAAATGGATTGCAATATGCTTCAAACAAGCCTCCTCATTTTTGGATACTGCTCCTCTTGTACAGATCCTTGCTCTGCTTTTTGGGTCATCCCCAAAAGGTGGTCAGGGTTGGAGGGTCTTTCTGCTCTCAAATTTGATACATGCCTTCTGTGGCACTGACCTATGGAGCAATCCACCAGCCAACCTTTATTAAGTACCAAGTATGGTGCCAAGCACTGTGCTAGGTCCATCTCTGATCTCAAGGAGCTTACATTCTAATAGGGGAAAGAACATGTATATAAATAGATACATAAAGAATAGATAGAGGGTATGCTTAAAGGGGAAGGGACCAGAAGCCCGGGGAGTGGGGAAAGCTAAGTATAAATAGAATCAATGGAGGCAGGCAGCAGTGGTGTCATGGGTGAAATGTAGGACACAAAGTTAGGAAGATCTGGGTTTGAATCCCGCATCAGGCACTGGCTGTGTAACCCAAATCACTTATGCTTTTTGGACCTCAGTTTACTCATCTGTCAAAGGAGAGGACTGGACTCAGTGGTATCTGAGGACGATGCCAGCTCTTAAATCTATGATTCTATGAAATAGAAGCCAGTGAAGGTGACCACTGGCCTATAGGAGCATGAGAAAAGGAAAGGGAATGGAACAAGCATTTATTAAGCTCCTATTTCGTGCCAGGCACTGTACTAAGCACTTTACAAATATCTCATTTGGTGAAGAAAGGCATCATGTTGTAACCTTTCTCAGCTAGTATATGGGACATTTACAAACTGGCTAGGTTTGGGCAGAGATGACAATTACCCCTGAAATAGGTTCCCCCTCTCCTCCCACTGACAGAGTAGGACAGTAGAAAGAACATTAAAGTCAGAGGGTCAGAGGGCCCGAGTTTAAATCCCAGTTTTGCCACTCATTCTCTAGGTGACTTGGGCAAGACACCTAACCTCTCTGGGCCTCGGTTTCTTTATTTGCAAAATGAGGAGTTGAACCAAATGACCTCTAAGGTTTCTCTTCATAACCTGGCCTCAATTTATCTTTCTTTTCTTTTCTTCTCTCTCTCTCTCTCTCTCTCTCTCTCTCTCTCTCTCTCTCT